ATAGATCAAAACACATTTCCTTTACCATCAGTTACACAATTAACTATTTATTGTAGATTTAGATAGATAGGCTGGATGCTCCCAAGTGACTCTGAAATGTTCATTTTGTTACAGAAATTGAGTGTGGTAAGACAAAGGCCTTGGACTTATTCTTCATAAAGAATATTTACCAATATTTGCTACAAAATAGTCCTTAAACTTTTTAGCAGGTATGGCAGCACACACCTATATACCAGCTGGTAGAGTTCAGGGTCATTATCAGCTACATGAGATCCTATCTCAAAAATAAACAAAGAAACAAACAAATGTTTTTAATGAGCCAGCTGAAACTATTGGCACATAGCTTCAGTAATTGGGAGACCGAGGCAGGAACACTGTTTGGGCCCAGAAGTTTGAGACCAGAGTGGACCAGGGACACCAGTTCCTTATGTTTTGTTGTTTGTTTCTGAGATGAGATCTCTCACTATGCAGGCCAAGCTGACCTCGAACTCACGTTGATCCACCTGCCTCTGCTTCCCAGGTGCTGGGATTAAAGGTGTATCATCATACCTAGCCTGTTTCAAGTTTTTTTTTCTTTTTAATTAACTTTTAAAAAATGTTTTCTCGCAGGGTGGTGGTGGTGGTGGTGGCGGCGGCGGCGGCGGCGGCACGCCTTTAATCCTGGCGCTTGGGAAGCAGAGCCAGGCGGATCTCTGTGAGTTCGAGGCCAGCCTGGTCTACAAAGCAAGATCCAGGACAGGCAATGGAGAAACCCTGTCTCGGAAAACAAAACAATGTTTCGTCTTATGTATGTCTGTGTACCTCTTTTGCATTTGGTGCCTGCTGAGACCAGAAGTTGGCATCAGATCCTCTGGAACTGGAGTTACAGCCAGTTGTGAGCTGCCAGGTAGGTAGGTCATCTGGAAGAACAGCCAGTGCTCTTAACCACTGTGCCATCTCTCTGGCCTCTGTTTTATGCTTTTGTTATTATTAACACAGGATTTTACTCTGTAGGTCTGGCTGACCTGGAACTCACTCTATAGACCAAGATGGCCTTGAACTTACAGAGATCCACCTGCCTCTGCCTCCAAGAGCTGGGGTTAAAGGTTTGAAACCCCTCCACCCTCCCCACCCCCACTTGTTTTCCAGTTTTGATGGAAGGCTTCAGAACACACAGAAACAGAGTATCTGGAACTTTTCCAGATACAGCCAGAGCAGCATTCTGTTCCTATCCTGATGTGACAGACATCGCAGTCGACCAGCAACATAATGAGGAATTCTCCCACACAGTGAACCAGCTCCAGGAGAGCTCAAAGAGGGCATGCACTAGAAGAGTGTCTACCGATCTCCTTACTAACAGGAATTGTCAAAAGAAACTGTGTAAACGCAGAACTTGGCTGCTTTGGGCTTTCCTGGGAACAGATCTCAAAGTATTGAGCAATGCTGACTGATGCAACCCCATACTTCATTACTCATCTGAGAAGCAGAGCAGCTATTTGGAGAATGAACATAGCATCACTGCAGGCATCTGGAAGAGCAGGTCTGTGGGATTTGCCAGGGGCCACCAACATGGTCCTGGTTCCTGAACTGCCCAGCTCTACATAGGAATACATAGGAAGCTTGTCGTTGTTGCTTCTTCTTCTTCTTCTTCTTCTTCTTCTTCTTCTTCTTCTTCTTCTTCTTCTTCTTCTTCTTCTCTCTCTCTCTCTCTCTCTCTCTCTCTCTCTCTCTCTCTCTCTCTCTTGGTTTTTCAAGACAGAGTTTCTCTGTGTAGCCCTGGCTGTCCTGGAACTTACTTTGTAGACCAGGCTGGTCTTGAGCTCAGAGATCCACCTGCCTCTGCATCCTGAGTGATGGAATTAAAGGTGTGCACCACTACCACCTGGCTCCCCTCCACAACTAGAAGTAAAGCAATTAGAAATAATTTAAAATCAGGGAAGAGTTCACCCGCCCGACTTTAACACTGCAAGCTAAGTGTGAGAGCTCATATTCTAGGGATTTAGCCCTGACACCCAGACCGCTTCACTGTTGAGTGAAATACTTAAATGTGGTTAAGGGAAGTCCCTTATCTGCTGAGTCTCAAAGCAGCCTTTGCTTTGCTTTTTTGAGATACCATCTCCCTGGCTATGAGGGTGAGGATGACCTTGAATCCTGAGCATCTTGCTTTTACCTTCCTTGTGTATCAGGCCTGAGCCACCACACCCAACAGTCAAGCTTATGATAGCAGAGAAAATGAGTATCCGATCACCCGAGACAGAACCGTGGCCGAGGAAAAGCCAACGGAGGGCAAAAGCGTTTCCCATTTACACTCCACCTTCCTCTGTTTGCCAAGCCGGGGAGTGCTCTTCACACCTCAAGTGATTATCTGCAGAGTGTCCTATAAACATTTTGAGTTGTCATTGGGGTTAAAAGTCAGATTCCACTACCTCTGGCCTCTTTTGGCCTCTGGTCTTCTGGCCTCATTTGGACTGTATGCAAATGGTACACAGATATACATGTAGGTGAAACACCCAAACAAATAAAATAAAAATAAATTCAGAGTGGTGGTGGTGATGGTGGTGGTGCACGCCTTTAATCCCAGTACTCAGGAGACAGAGGCAGGCGGATCTCTGTGAGTTGAAGGCCAGCTTAGTCCACAGAGTGAGTTCCAGGAAAAAACAAAATACATAATTTTTTTTAAGCTTTAAGGAGTTCAAATGCATCATGGAAATTTATTATCTAACTAGCAAAGGCGATATGGTTAACTCTTTTCTCAAAGTTCTATACGTTTTTAGAACCACAATAGCCAAAGAACAATGGAGAAGGAGCCCTCCCTAGCCGACTAAGAGAAACAGCTAACACTCACTCATTCATTCATATGGGTGTCTTTACATAGTCTAAGCTGGCCTGGAACTCCATCTTCCTTCCTCAGCATCCTGAGCGCTGAGACTTCAGGTCTGCACCCCACACTTGACCAGAAATGGTTAATGCTTTAAACTTTGATATTTGGCATTCTAAAGATGGCTTTAAAGTGTATTTGCTATGCACGTCACTCAAGAGATTCTTTATAGTTTCCTGTTGTGGAGGAAGCTGTGGCCTGGTTAGTGAGACAAAACATATGGGCCTAACCAATCCAAAATGAAAAGAATCAGGGTGGCATGCCTTCTTCCCAGTCATCCGGGTCTCTTGTGATCTGATCCTGCTCTACATTTTTATGAGTGTCCAGGGAGAACTCTAGATTTTGGTGAGGCAGATTTCCTGAGTCTCCAACACACTGGTGGCAAAGAAGGAGAAAAGCACGTGCCTGAAGACCAGAGTCTGCTCTCCAAACATCTACCGTGTGACGAGGCTGAGTAAATAATCAGATTTTTTTTTCCACTCAGCGACAACATGAGCAAGGTGTGAGTCTTAGGGGATCTTCTGCTTGGAAGGACACCTCAACTGTCCTATCCTTACTGCAGGAGTCTCTCCTCTCCTCCTCCCTGGGCAAACATCTCTGCGCTCAGACACACTCCCCCTGTCTTCAGGCCCTGCTGGGGGTACAGCTTAGTGGCACCTGTGAGGCCCAACGACAAACCAACAACACCAAAAGCGTAGAGGGGTTAATCTGGCTCATTTCCGTATTTGTAAGTGCATTGTAATCATGACTTCGTGTGATTCCCTGCAGAGAGCCTAGTAATTCAGTGTGCCTAAGCTCTGCACTTAGTGCTATCTAGATTCAAATCCCAGCTCTTTGATCCTGGGCAAATTACTTGGCTCTCTGCACTTCAAGGTCGTTTTCTATCAGAAAGGGTTAATAGCACGGTTACCTTGAAGATTGGATGAGATAACTCAGGCAGACCAGAGCATCACTGGGTGGGAAGGACAGCGCTATGGCACAGTACACACAAATTATATAGCAGTCTGTACATGATAGTTTTGTCACTGACGATGTGCTCAACAGGCCTTGTGTTATCTCTTTCCCTCCTCAGCTACATACATCAAGTAGTTTGCTAATTTAAAAATATTTTTTTGTTGTGGGCTATCCTACTATAGATGTATCAAAAGTTGTGACAAAAAAATCAACTAGAATCACTATATTCAGAGACTACACATTTATTATTATTATTATTATTATTATTATTATTATTATTATTATTATTATTTTAAAGATGGGATCTCTCTGGCCTCAAAGCTGGACTAGAATTCACTGTGTAGCTGAGGATGACCTTGATTTCAGATCCTCTTGCCTCCATCTCATGAATGCTGGGACTATGGGCACGATCCATAATGCCTGATTTGTTTGACTATTTTGGACATTTTCAATTTGTCTCTAGTCTCAAATACATGTATTTAAAGACATTTTAAAAAATTAAAGGTGTAAACAGTGTACTTGTGACTCACAACCATCCTAGTCCCAAGGGATCCAATGCCCTTTTCTGGCCTCCACGGGCACCAGGCACACGTGTGGTGCCCATACCTACATTCAAGCAAAACACTCACACACATAAATATAAAAACCAAAAACTTAAATGTAACAGTTTTCCTTCATCTTTTTTTTTTTTTTTTTTTTTTTTTTTTTTTTTTTTTTTTTTGGTTTTTCTGTAGGTCTGGCTGACCTGGATCTCACTCTATAGACCAGGCTGGCCTCAAACTCACAGAGATCCACCTGGCTCTGCCTCCTGAGTGCTGGGATTAAAGGCATGTGCCACCACTGCCCAGCACCTTCATCTTTTTTCAAAATTTATTTATTTTTATGTGCATTGACATTTTTGTCTGCATGTATAGTTTGAGCAAGGATGCTAGATCACAGACAGCTGTGAGCTGCCATGTGGGTGCTGGGAATCAAACCCAGGTCCTCTGGGAAAACAGCCAGTGCTCTTAACCACTCGGCCATCTCCCCAGCCCCCTGCTGTCACCTCTTCAATTAAAGCAATCAAGCACTATAGATTCGGTTGAAGATTTTCCTCTCCTGGTCCGGTTCCCATTCCCTTTCTATAGGCCACCACTGTCATGAATTTGGTGTATAAGAGTTCACACTCACACAAAACATGGGATTAGTATAGGTTCCAAAGGCTCTGTTTATTTATGAATGTGGTATCATAATGTATACAGTTCTGCAAACTGCTTTTCTTCACTCCACACTGGTTCTGAATTCTCTCTGCAATCACTATCCTTTGACAAAAACGAAGCCAGTCTCTTCGCTCCGTATGTATACCACCATGTGAATTTTCCCTCTTTGCTGTTGCCTTTTCACTGTTATAATCAGTGTCATAATAGTCACTGCAACTGCAAAAAAAAAAAAAAATTTTTTTTTTTCTTTGAGACAGGGTTTCTCTGTGTAGTTTTGGTGCCTGTCCTGGATCTCACTCTGTAGACCAGGCTGGCCTTGAACTCACAGAGATCCGCTTGGCTCCGCCTCCCGAGCGCTGGGATAAAAGGTGTGAGCCACCAACACCCCGGCACAAAAAGATTTTTTTTAAGATTTATTTTTATGTATGTGTGTGTCTGTGTTAAGTGTGTGTGTGTGTGTGTGTGTGTGTGTGTGTGTGTGTGTGTGTGCATATATCCTCAGAGGCCAGAACAAGGTATTGGATCCCTGGAGTTACAGGCATCTGTGAGGTTTCTGATGTAGTTGCTGGAATGCATAAGTGTTTTGAACTGCTAAGCCTTCTCTCCAGCCCTAAGTGCAAAAAACTGATTAGGTATTTCCACATGAATGGGAAGAGTCCATTTGTATTGGTAAGCAACTTAAAGGAGGTCTGTGTCTGTGGGGGCTGGCTTTGCTCTCTTGGTATGATAGAGCTGCTCACCTCACTGTACCCTGGAAGCAAATGTCAGGAGGGGGTCCCGACATCCTCAAGGGCACACAAGATGATTTAACTTCAGCTGGGCTCCACTTTCTAAAGGTCCCACCCATCAACATAGACTTTTGGTTGGAAGTCAAATCTTCTTCAATACATGTACTTTTCTCTTTCTTTCTTTCTTTCTTTCTTTCTTTCTTTCTTTCTTTCTTTCTTTCTTTCTTTCTTTCTTTCTCTCTTTCTATTTATTTATTTATTTATTTATTTATTTATTTATTTATTTATTTATTTATTTATTTTGAGACAGGGTTTCTCTTGTGTATTGCTGGCTGTCTTGGATTTCCTTCTGTAGATCAGGCTGGCCTTGAACTCCGAGATCCACCTGCTTCTGCCTCCGGAGTGCTGGGATTAAAGGTGTGCGCCACCACAGCCCCGCTGAATACGTGTACTTTCGAGGGACATTTATAATCTAAACCACAACACCACTTAATTTATAGTATTTTTCATTTGATGAAAGTTTCCTTCTTTTGTTTATTTTGTTGTTTTCTCCATGGCTGTCTTGGGATTCTCTCTGTAGACCAGTCTGGCCTCGAACTGTCTCCCTGGGTACCGGGATTATAGGTGTGCACCACTAACAACTGGCTTGATCAAAGTGTTTTACACCTTTAAAGCGCAAGAGACAAGAACTTTAAACACACAGTGAAGGCTGCCCCTGTGCTTGGCGTTGGGGGAGGAAGCACCCAGGTGAGTGCCCGTGTTGGAGATGCATTCATTTGGGTGCAAGATGCATGTCAGCGTAGCACACGGGGTTAGGATGACAAGAGAAAAATAATCTGCAGGAGGCTTACTTACTAAAGTTCAAAGGATGGAGAAAAGAGAACTCTCAGGAGATTCTCAGGTAATTTAAACAGTCCAGACAAGGTTTCCTCTGATAATTCAGCCTGAATTTAGCACAGGAGCCAGGGTTTGAGTTCCTTCCCCAGTACAAAAATAAAATAAAAGCTGGAACAAATGATCTTCATTATTGTTTCTTCCGGAACTGAAACTTCAAATGTCACAATTGTTAATTAAGGAGGAAACCAGGTTGACTTTTAAAACCATTAGTCCTCAGCATCACTTACCACAGACCGTAGGTGGTGGGAAGTGTGATGTTAGAGAGCCAATAGGAGATGGAAGACTTGGCTTCCACGCTGTTATTTCTTCTCAGCGTCTGTCCCTGGACCAAATCCCCAAATGGAGGCTAAAGGAGTGGCCGAAGTGTAAACGCCAGTCTCGCTGGTTGGTTCGTACTGTTCTGTTCTAGAAAACCATAAGGCACTTTCCATAAAACGTGCCCGGGGAGGGAGCTGGTTAAATTGCGTCCTATTAAGCTCGGATTGTCAGGCGTCCTGGTTTTTTTTTTTTGATTCGATGCTCCGGTCTCAAGAGCCAGCACTACTTTCCGCGGCTGGCACCGGGGCCTGTGTGAACTTACTTTTTTTAACCGACTGGTCCGAGGCGCTGGGGAGAACCGGCGCTCCGGGGCTGCCGACTTCCGACGCGAGCCGCGCGCAGGGCAGGTGGCGGCCGGGCCGGGAGGCGCAGGAAGCGGCCGGCGGGGCGGAGCGGGCGGTGGGGAGCAAGGCCGCGGGCGCCCCGCCCGGGCTGGTATGCGGCCGGGAGTGACGCGGGAGGAGGGGTCACGTGACGCCCGTGGAATGCCAACAATGTAGCGAATGTCCCGCTCGGGTCTGCGCGTCGGAACCGCGGCGTGAGCGCCCCGGGAAGATGGAGCCGCCGCCGCCAGCGCCGCCACCGCTTCCCCGGACTCCCCCGACCCTACGGGGTCAGCAACCACTGCCGCCAGCGGCGCCCGGTCTCCCGGCGCGCGAGGTCCCGGAGCCGCGGGCCAGGACGCCGCCGAGGGTGTAGAGCGCTCCCGGAGGTGAGGGGCCGCGGCCGGGAAGTTTGTCGGGACGGGGCTCCGCCCGCCC